TCTTCTACTCATTAACCAGTTGTCTTTTATAGACGTAGGTTATACGTGCAATACAAGCACTTCTCCTTAGATAAGAAACAACAGCAATAGTGTAGATGTTGGAAGTGATGACTGTTTTAAAAAAAAAAAAAAAATCAATCATGTTCAGTGCCGGGATTAAGCTCTTTAAAATCTTTTTTCTTGATACAAATAAGTCATCCAGATTTGGTCTGTCATTACAAATCTGTGTTATTGCAAAACTGATAAATAATCACAGAATGGTTGAGGTGGGAGGTCCAGGAAGGGACCTCTGGAGATCATCTAATCCAACCTCCCAAGTCACAGGAGGGCCAACTAGAGCAGGCTGCTCAGGACCACATCCAGCCAGGTTTTGAGTACTTTGAGTACCTGCCTGAGCAAGCTGTTCCAGTGTTTGGTCACCCCTAAAGGAAAAATGTTTGTTTTCTTATGTACTGGTGCATGGGGTTATTCTTCCCTGGTGCAGGACTTGGCATTTCCCTTTGCTGAAATTCATGAGATTACTGTTGGCCCATTTCTCCTGCCTGTTGGTGTTCCTCTGAGTGGTCACACAGCCATCTGGTGTATCAGCTTGTCCTTCCAGTTCTGTACCAGAGATGGCTTTTCTGATAGTGGTGGTTTCAGTACCTATAGCTCAAATGTAGGAGCTGTTCATGTGGTGGGTTGTGCTTTAAAAACACAGTCTTTCAGCTAGTTGTAAGTTTGCCGCATTACAGTGCGGATAGTTTTGACTCTGCGGAGGTGTAAGTCTTGGTCAATCTTATATTCCAGTTGATGAGCAGGTACGTTACTGTCATTTTTTGTCTTTGGTCAGTAAGCTTGAATCATTTTAGATCAGATGTGTAATGGGCTAAGGCAAAAAGTGAGGCCAGCCACTAGGAAACCCGGCAATGATGGCAGTGTGATTGTGCAAATTGCACAGTGTTTTCCCTGGTATCTTCACTGCTAGCAATACAGGATGGCATGGAGTGTGGAAGACTAGGTTATAGAAGTTTCAGGTGATGCTTCTTAGCAGTGACTTCTGGCAAAGATGTTACACTGTAGGCTACAGTGGTACAGACATAGCGATACAGTGGTATAGAAATGCAGCAAATTTAGCCACCTGGGCAATAGCCAGTGGCCTCTGGTAGAGGAGAAGGGTGAACCGAGGGCAATAATATCTTAAACTGCTGCAGCTAAACCTGCCAGTGTTCATCTCTGATGCGTAAGTCCCATCTTCTTGACAGGTATGTTGGCACTAGAATGATTAGGCTGATTTGATATCCACATAGTCAACTTAAATGCATTCATTCCCTTAACAATTCTGGTGGTTCCTACGTCTGTCTTGCTCAAGACCAGTGTAGCAGAAACACCAGGCTCCAAGCCTTGACATTTTTATCTGCTTCTTCGCTATTTATTTCTTATCTCAGTATTGTTAAATCACCAAAAATGGCACATAAACTCCCCTCTCTTTCCAAAGAAAAAGAAATGGAAAAGCATCTGTGAGGGTTGCATAGTTGGGGTTATTGGTGTGACACTGGTGTAGTTGTCAGAGGGTAGGAACCTCCAGCAGAAGTCAGAGTGCTGGTATTTGATGGTTATATCCAGCAAGCACATTTTCAGTCTCTTTCAAATCCAACACTTTCATTAGATAGAGGCTCTAACAATAAACAGCATAATTTCATAGACTCCCTTGCTTCAAGGAAAAATTTATTTTGCCACAGTAGTAATAAAATCTTTTTCTAAGACTTAGTGATTATTCTGCAACCTTCTGAGACTTTCCTCCCCCACACCGCTTACAAGCCTTGTATTTAGACATCCTGCACAATAGCAGAGCTCTGCATGCAATGTTGCTCTCACTGCATTATGCTGTGTCATCACTGAACAAATTTTATCATCAGAGTGAGATCCTTAGGTGTCTGAAAGTATTGTAGGAGTTTTTCATGGACAATGTTACGAGTGCCGACACTTAAAATATATATGATGAAAATGGAAAAGTATTTCAGAGGCTGGCTTACTATTCCATTAAAGCTGGCAGCAGTATTTCCAATTTTTTCTTTACTTAGAAGGGTAAAGGTTCCTTTATGAAGCTCTGGAGTACATAGGTACTTTGGAGTGCCTATGGAGTATGAATGTGCTGGCAGGCAGAAGTATGATGTGTTAGTTACATAGACAAGTTTGAGACATTCAGTCACCTCTCCTCAGAAATAGCTTTATGTTGTTAACATACTGAAACTTTATCTACATGGGAAAGCTAGTTAACTGTAAACTCTTATGTTTACTGTATGTGACTGTCCGCTATTAATGCACCATGTTACCAGTCTTAATATACAGTTAACATTTAACATAAGATAGTTTATTCCATCGAAAGTGGAGCAAACTCCACTAGACACAGTTCAGACAAAGCTTTTCAAAATTAATTAATTCTCCTTCAAAGGTAGGGTGAGCTCATGCTTACATGTGCTAACAGGGAGCCTGTCAGATTGTAGTTAGCTTTGCGAATGCACACTTTGTGCTTACTACTCACAGCCTTCCCTGTGTAGACTATCTCGAAGTCCTTACATTTTCGAGGTAGTCTTTGGAGACATTTGCCTTCTTTCTCAAAAGAATTTTGTTTGAAATCCAACATTTTGAGAAATTGAAATGACCATTTAGAGCACTGTAGTTTCTGTATCCATGTCTTACAGTTGTTGCTATTTGTGAAAAAGTTACATAAGATGCCTTTAAAAGTCACAGAGGTCCCTTTAATCATAGGTGCATGGTTACTGAATGTTTTGGGTTGTACTCTTCCTAGCTGCTATTTTCCATACTTAACTGTGTTTACAATTCTTTTGGTTGAAATGTTATCTATTTTTCTGGTGTCAGAATGCTTGCTGGAATTTTTACCATCTTAATATACTTTACTCTAAAATGTTTTATTTGAGATTATACGGCAAATGTGGTGCTTTTGAGCATTATCCTTTTTGATGTTAAAAAAGTGATAAAAGGATGTTTATATCCTCCTTTCACTGCACCCACATAAATCAGTTAAATGCAAAAAAGCTGCATCTGTTACATGTGATTGAGAGTTACTAGTTTCTAATGTGCTGGGATTTGATGACTAATACTGATCATGGCATAGCGATCTGGTAGGTATAGCGGTATGTATCTGTTTCAAAGATAAACTTCCTAGAAGAGAGAAAAAACCCTATAGGGAGCTTATTTTGTCATCTTTCAAATATAAAGTCTTGTAATGTTAATTTTCGAGTGAAGTTCCTACACCTATTACATTCATAAAAATGAAG